TGGCTTTGTTGTGAGAGGCTGTGTTTGGCTTCAGTGAATGTTTTTTGAAGACACTTATAATGCATTTGCCCATTTCATGATGGGCGATTTACAAGCACATCGGCCCATGCCACGCTGAGTGTTCAGCAGTTTTTGACCAAAAACAGCAACACCCTCTTGCCCCTCCCTCCCTAGTCACCATTTCCCTGGATGAAAAAAGACCTCAAAGGGAAACGTTTTGCCAATGTGGAAGAGGTGAAACAAAAAATGGAGGAAGCACTAAAAGGCATCAAAACTGACAAGTTCAATAACTGTTTTGGGCAGTGGAAAAATGTCTCAGTAGGTGTATTGCATCAAATGGAGAGCACTTTGAAGGTCACTGAAGTTTAAACACGTAAGAATAAACACACGATTTTTTGTAAATAAGTTCCGTATTTTTTTTATCCCCCCCTTATTGTCTCCTTTAATCCTCCCATTGTTCTTTCCATAGTACAGGTCTGGGCTTCCACAGGGAGCGGTTCTCCTGCGGTTTTAACTCAGGCAGGGTTAACACTGGCGAGGAGGCCTCTCCTTGCCTTCCTTTGATGTCCTTGTCTCTCACTAGGATATAAGCTGCACAAAGGCGGGACCATCCCTGTCTGATTCATCTGTGTTCCCTATTACTTAATGCCACTCTTGGAAGTAACTCATGAATGAATAGAAAAATGACCTGATGTTTTTTTTCCTCAAGCCAGGTTTCTGGAGTGCATTGCCTCCACCTCCGATGCCCCTCCACCTGTCCTTCTGGTGACAGGCATTTGAGCCTTGGCTGTTGGCATTGGGCAGGTTCTGACTGATTCTTGTCAAGCTGCAGAAGAGCTGAGCTGTGAGCTTGGGCAGCTCAGGGCTGTACAGCCACCCTGGGCTGTTAAGGTTTGTAAGAGGTTCAGCTGCTGCTGGAATGGCCATGAATCACTAATTGAGTTCAGCTCCACAAGGACTGGGGTGGCGATGCTGCTGGAAATAGAAATAAGAAATAAATACGCTCAGTCTGACTTCACCTGGCTCTCAGACTCAAGTCCTGGCTCTAACTTACATGCTTTGTGACCTTGGGCTAATCAATCACTTTCCCTTTCTAAGCCTCAGTTTTGCTATCTGCCAAATAGAGGTGATGATCTCTCCCTCTCTCCCAGGAAACAGTGAGTGAGGGAGCCCTCCCCTGCCTGATGCATCTGGCTCGCATGCCAGCACCTTGCTGAAACTGCTCGCACCAATTCCATCCTGTGGGCCCTTTTCATAAAGTTCTTAAAGTCACACGACCTCTGGGTCACGTTGGATGCTGCAGAACACACTGTGCTTGACATTGTGGTTCTTCTTCCTCCACAGCTACTTCTCATTTTGTTTCCTTAACCCAAGATGGAGGCACAGGGGACTTTTAAACTGAGAAGCAACACCCCCAGTTAAATCTGCACACTAGGAATGTCATTTTGGTTTCAGAGCGGCACACAGGTAGATGAGAGAAAAAGCTGGCAGGGACTCTGAGTTCTTGGCATGGGAAGTAACATGTCAAAGTCCAGCAGAGGGGCCAACAGAGAACATGGCAAGAAGAACAAAAAACCCAAAAATCCTTCTGTGGCCACAGCTCAAAGAGGGACCCAGGTGAGTAGGTGGGATAAGAAAAGGGATGGAAGAAGGAGCCAGATCCGAGAGGGCCTTTAAGCCACACGTAAGAACATGAATTTCATCCTAATGGCTATGGGAATGGCTTTAAAGAGGGGAATGGCAACGGGGTTTGCATAAAGGAAACCACCTGGCTGCTGTGTGGAGAGTGACCGATGCTAAGGAGGCCAGTTAAGGAGCTCCTGTGGTTGACCAAGCAAAGATGGAGGCCATTCTGGGATGTGGTGGCGTAGACATAGTCTAGAGAAATTTAGGAGACAGGCACTAAAGACTTGTAAATTGTGTGGATGGTTGAGGAAGAATACAAGAGTGAAGGGCAGGTCCTAGGATAATGCTGGGCAACTGGGTGGTACGTTTTCCTGAGATGAAAAACACAGGGGAAGCTCAGGACAGGGGTCGGCCAACTTTTTCTTAAAGGGCCAGAAAGTATTTTAGGATTTGCAAGCCACATGGTCTCTGCCACAACTACTCAGCTCTGCTGTTGGAGCACAAAAGCAGCTATAGACGATACATACAAAAATGCACCTGGTGATGTTCCAATAAAACTTAACTTATAAAAACAAGTGGTGGGCTGGTTTGCTGACCCATATTTTAGGACATGTCACATTTGATGCGCCTACTCTGGATCCAAATGGAGATCTTCAGGAAGCAGTCGGAGACACGGGTCTGAGTGCAGAAGAAAGGTCTAGGCCCCTGGAGAGAATGCAGGGGCAGTCAGAGTGCGGGTGGCCATCTGAGGCAGGAGAGCGGGGAGGGCGGAATGCGGAGGGCCAGGTCCTAAGCACAGGATGAGATTTTAAAAAGACCGGATGAATGTTTTTCTGAGTGGTGGGAGGTACACCTAGAGAGTGGAGTGTCTTGGAAGTCAAGTGTGCGGTAACATGGTACAGGGAGCTGGCGCAGCGTGAGGGCCGACATGCGTCAAGTGGGTGTAAACGAGGGGTGCCAGAACGTGCCACCCCAAAAGGCGTCTCTTTGGCATATGGATTATTTCAAGCTGAAGGCCATTGAGAACCAGCAGATGTAAGGAAAGGTCTAAAAACAGGGTTTTGTGGGGGTTTTTTTAATAAAAGAAATATCCATTTATAAAGGGAGTTTAAATTCCCATTTGTAAAAGGTGTCTCCCTCTCCCATACCAGGAAGAGGACTCTTATCAATGGAGAAGACAGGACTTAAATCTGCATGACAAACCTTGCTAAATACCTCTTGTCTACAGTATTTTTCCCAGTCACCTTCCCATAACTTGCCATCTCCCCACCCCCCACCAGGATCCCCAGAAACCCTTTTCCTTTCTTTCAGTCTAAGATGGTACATGAGCCCAGGCCCTAACCTCCTCTTTGTGTTGCTCACGGCTGGGTTCTTCCCCGTGTACATGAGGGATGCACTGAGTTAACCAACTGCCTTTGTTTCACTCTTGGTTGTCCGTCTTTGGCCGGTCTCACTTACAGAGCCCCGGCTAGAGAAACTAAGATGGATAAAGAAAAAGGTTTTTCCTCTCTATAAACAAATGGTTACATCCCTGGTGATAGTAGTCAGTGACAAGAGAATGACAGAAACCAGATAAAAATTGGCTGAAGAGGGAGTTAGAGGTGAGAAAAATGGAGATAGTAAGATGATGAACAAGTCTCAGGAAGGCCGTGGAGATGTAGAGAAGACAAGGTGGTGGCTGCTTGGGAGGTCGGAATGGAGGGTTGTTTGTTTTTTAATGGAGGAAATTTGTTTAAATGCTGGTGGGAAGAGAAAGGACTATTGAGGTTTCAGGGGATGGATGCTGAACGTTGATCCCGCCACTAAGTTATCCATAGGACCTTGGATAACTTCCTTATCAGCAAGTAAAAGTTATAATAGGGTCTACCTTGTGGGGTTGATGTGAGAAGCAAAAGAGAAAATGTGGATACATGGCTCAGTGCATAGTGATAAGCTCTCAACAGATGTTACTCCTGTTATTTTCCTCCTCTCCGCCCCCCGGCGGCGCTTCCAAAAGGAGCAAGTCCGGGCCTGTGGGTCCTGAGGTCTGCAAGGCTTCCCAGTTCTGCAGGCAGCCCTAATGATCAGGGAGCATCTTGAATTATTACTTTCTCTGCTCTTCTCTAAAAGCCTACATAAATGGTGTTTCATTTTATTTTGTTTTTTAAAAAATCAATAGGAATAGCAGCAACATAAGTTAGGTCTGCCCCAGGGGTCTTCAGATGTACTACAGGCAGGATTTGTATGAGGGTTTCGATCATCTTTGGCTTGTTAAATTGGCGAATGGCTGCTCTTTAATTGGTCTGAGGTCAGACCCTCCAGACCCTTTGCAGCCTGAGTTTTTATTGCAAGAGTAAGAAACATCTATGTAGTGGGTTGAATAGCATCGCCCCAAAGTCCAAGCCTACTTGCTCTCTCAGAATGTGACCTTATTGGAAATAAGGTCTTTGCAGAAGTAATTAAGGAAAGAATCAAGATGAGATAATCCAGAATTTAGGGTGGGCCCCAAATCCAATGACTGGTGTCCTTATGAAAAGAGGTGAGGACACAGACATGCATGCAGAGGAAAAGGCCATGCGAAGACAGAGGCAGAGACTGGGGCGATGAAGCCAAGGATTGCCGGAAGCCACCAGGAGCTGGAAGAGGCAAGGAAGAGTTCTTCCCGAGATCCTCAGAGGGGACATGGCCCTGCTGACACTTTGATTTCAGATGTCTGGACTCCAGCACCGTGAGGACAGTTTTCTGTTGTTTAAAGCCACCCTCGTTCAGGAGTATGTTATGGGAGCCCTAGAAAACTCGTAAAGCTTGGCTTTGTGCTTGGTCTTGGGCAATGAAGGAGGACACAGTGTTCACTGAGGCCAGTGTAGTGGCCCTGGCAGGGGCCTCAGGGAGCTTCTTCAGCTTCAGAATGGCAGGACACGGCGTGCAGAACAAAGCTGGGACTGAAGCAGAAACACATCTGAGGCCGAGTGGGCGGTGTGCGCTGCCCACTGGGAAGAGCCATCAACCCGCAGCTCTGAGTCCTCACTTGGAGAGGTTTTGTGTCAACTCCGAAGCTGCTGTGATCTGGCAGACATTCAGATGTACTCTTAATCTATAAATATTTTTTAAAGGCGACGCATTAGTGATCCAAGAGCTTTACTTCTAGTTTATCTTAAGGAAAAAATCAGAAATTCAGATGAAGCTTTATCCCCAGGATGTTTATCATATTATTTATAATACCGAAAAACCATAAACAGCCTAAATATCCAATAATGAGGAAATAGTTAGACAAATTATGGTATATTCAGAAGAGCAGTCATTGTAAATATATATGACGAGTGTTTAATGTTTACAAATAGCTTTTAACGATGTGGGAGAATGATTGTGATATAATGCTAAGTGAGAAAACTGGTTATAAAATGGTACAGTATAATGCCAACCATTTAAAAAATGCAATAAAAAAACTGAAAGGAAATATCCCAAAATGTTAGAGTGGTCTCTAGTTGGAGGAATGATGGGTGTTTAAAAAAAGAACCCAAAGCCCAAAAAAGTTCTTTCTACTTTCTATACTTTTAAAGTGACTTACTATGTACATGGATAACTTCCATAGTCAAGAAAAAAGTAAAAAACTTTAAAAATGCTGTGTACGTGGTTTCCATTTTTATTTTCTTCAATGGATGATTGCACATCAGCAAATCTTCAGTTACGCTAACTACTTAGGCCGGTCACGACACACACGTACAGAGAGGTCACATGGGCTGTGCCGAGCTGGCGGTAGCATATATACATCAAGTTACACAGGTGGAACTGTTAGGCTGGTTGAAATACACCACCAAATGATGGGACACGGTTGGGTCAGGCCACCTCTCCCGCCTGCTGCTCTTGTTTACAGAGGTCTGTGTGTTAGGCTGGTGAGTGGGGTCCTGCTGGCACTCCTTCTGGTGGCCTCTGGGGTGAGCGCCTGGGTCAGCATCTGCTCTGGGTCCCGTTTGTCTGCCCTTGCCTTGGTGTTGGAGCTTCCAGTGTCCTGCTACCTCTTCCGAGCCCTGGGTGTGCTCCAGCCAAGGCCCCCATCCCCTCTGCTCCACATACCTGGGGCAGCCATTGCAAGGGAAGGAAGAACCAAGAGTGAATTGTCATGCTCCTAATGGGACTCGTGCCCAGACACGGGAGGGGAGGAAGCAGGAGACGTGACCACGACACCACACACAAGCTCACTCTTTATAGATGAGCCCTCTGTGTCTCGAAGGTATGTAGGCTGTGTGGAGCCCTGCAGGGCACAGCCCCGGGAGAGGACAGACGGGGGATGGGAGCTGTGCCCCTTGAGGCAGGCCTGACAGCAGAGCTAAGAAGGTGGATGGGGGATGTGTCCAACATGGTGCTAGACTGTAGAAAAGTCACAACTATACACACCTGGGGATCATGCCCCTCTCTCCAAGTCATTTGCATGGTGGGTTAGATACAGCTAGATAGAAGTGGAGATATACTTTTTTGAGGAAGGACTTTTCCTGGTGGTTGGATAAAAGGTAAGACAGACTCCTAGGTTAGGCATGCTCTGGGGAGGGCCATGCGACAGTGAGGGACTCCCTATTGCTACACTCTGTACAGGCGGCCTGGGCCCGCCCGCTGCACCCATGGCCCCTGTCGGCAGTCACAGGCTTGCCTTCAACCCCTTCCGCCTTTGAGAGCTCTTGAGCCCCGGTGAAACGGGGGCTATGAAGACAAGTGGATGGGAGGGGGGGTCCCCATGGCCCCGGGGGCACCCCATATGAGGGCTACATGATACTGCACTGGGTGGCCCCACAGCAATCCTTGATGAGCGCCAGCCCGGTCTTGGCCACTGTGGGCTTGCTAGGTGGGGGCTCTGCTTTCTTCTCGGCTCTGGAGCCTGCAGCAAAGTAGGAGCACAAAGAGAGAGGAAAGAAAGGAGAGAGGGAGAAATGAGGTAAAGAGAGCCCTAACCATCTGCAGCCCCAGTCCCATCCCAACCCTTCGTCAGGCCTTGCTTTACCTCTACAGATCAGGTGATGTGGAGAGCTGGCATGCATTTCATATGGTTTTGCTGACTGTTCTCACTTCCTTGTGAGTTAACTGGCTTTCAGTCCTCTGCTTCCAGTCACAGCTTTAAACCTTATTCTATTCAGTTCTCCTTGCCATTGTACAATATCTGCCAAGCCTATCAGAGGATCTGGCATATAAGTATTTGGTGAATGAATTAATGGGAATTTTGTTCAAGTCACTGTAGTCTAAGGGCTGACATCTTTTAATTCTGGAAAATGCTCATTCATTAGCCTTTTAGATGCCTCCAGCACTCATTCTCTGTTATCTTTTTCTTTGGCATGTCTATTAGATATAGGTTGGGCCTTCTTATACTATCTCCCATGTTTTATTACTTCTCTTTCATATTTTTTATCATTTTGTCTCTGTTCATGCTTCATTCTATTTCCTCAGCTCTGTATTCCAATTTATGAACCCTCCCTTCAGCTGTATCTCTGAATTTAATCCACTGAGTTTTCACTTCAGTAACAATACTTTTTTAGAAAACTAAGTGTTTGTAAATCTACCTATTTTTTCATAGCATCCTGCTCTTTCCTTCTCTTATCTCTTTCATAATTTTAAATATACTTATTGTCTCTTTTAGATAGTCTATTATTTCTAATTATTGGGAAGACAGATATTCTCTTTTCTCTTTGTTGCATCTATAGACTCCTCTCATGATGGTTCAATTCTTCATTGGTTGGACATTTTTATTGAGAGCTTATCTTCATGGGGATTATTTTATCTGTGAACTGTGTATTATGGAATGCTGAAGGGTCATATTGAGCAATTTTTCATTTGCTTTGTTGGGGTCTCAGAGAGCTCGCTGCTTGTAGATTCGTTTTAATTTTTTAACTTGGGTTTCCAGCACCAGATAAGTAATATGAATTTGGACCCCACCCTTGACCCCTTGAATGTGGGGCAGGCTTAGTCTTTTGATTTCCTGCCAGAATTCTTTTTTCTATCCATAATCCTACATAGAAAGCAAGTTTCCTCACTCTTTCTTCACAGTGCTAGGTGAAGATTTTACTAATTTTCATTTTATGAAAGAGACAGTCCATTGAGGATGCTGGATTTATACAGGGACCAGGGACCATGTACCATAAGATTTTTAAGGGTATGCAGAAGGGACCGTGGCTCTTCTCTTTCTTCATTTCCCTACAATATACAACTAACTGTGTTTTCATGGGATGTTAATAAATGATCAAGGAAAACTGGATTTGCAGGTACAGTCAACAGTGGCAGCTTTGGGGTTTTCTCTTCCTACTAGGTTTCTAGCCGTTCTTACTCTGATAACAATTCATGTCCCTGTGGCTACAGGAGTGGGCATGTGACACAGATTGGCCAATCACAGTATCTCAGCCTCTTGATAATAATGATGGGCCTAGGAGGTGGGACCATGATCCAAGGAAGGCCAATTAGAATCTTTCCCTGAGATTTACATACTTAGATACCAGGAGAGAGAATCTGTGGTATTGCATTGCCACTGGTACGTTACAGTTCTGGAAGTCTGGCCCCATGGAGGAGACCTATGTAGCAGGAGAAAAGTGCAGCTAGCATACAAAGAGGGGCACAGATGAGAAATGCGAGGAAAGCAAGGGTTTAACAGTGTCCAGTCCCTGAAGCCCTGGTTCTTGTTGTTCTTCTTCCAGATCGCCTTTTTGCCAGAGAGAGTTTGCACTGGGCACCCATTTCTTATAATTGATAGCAACCTCACTGGACCAACAAAGAGAAGGCAGTTCCTTGACAGCAGGACCCATTATCACTTTAATATGCTGATGAACATTAGGACCCTCCATAGAGAGAGCCAAACATGCAGCATTTCCCGAACTTGTATCACACAAAACCCTTTATGCTCCGAGTATCTTGTGAGGCTCACATTCTGAGAAGCATAACTCTGGCTCCACTGCCTCAGGAATTCCACCTCCAACAGAGGCTAGAGCTCCCTGAGCCTCCGCTTCCACCTTCTAGCCACCTAGCTCCTCCCACGACGTGCACCAAAAGACATGATGAGAGAATGGCATCTGCTGCCAGAACTGACTACCTAGTTTGCAGGACCCAGTGCGAAATGAAAATGCAGGGCCCCTTGTTCCAAAATTCTTAAGAATTTTAAGACAGCAACGGCGGAACATTAACGTGGTCACAGTACCCTGCTAGGCATGGGGCCCTGGGCAACGGCACAGGCTGCACAGTGACGAAGCTGCCCCTGCCTGCTGTCATCCTGTGCCCAAGTTTGATCTCTAATAAATATTTTGTTGTGCCTTCTCTAGATCCTAGACCTCTTTTCAATTTCCTTTTCTCTCGGATGGGATGAGAAGAAATAACGTATGCACTCACTGACTGGAGATTTGGTTACTTTGTCCAGAGGTTTTAACTTGATTCTTAGGAAATCGGCCATTTCCTTGTCTTCTTCTTGTTCCCTGTAAGGACAGATGTACAAAGACAAGGGGAAAGTAGAGTAAGCAAAGAAAGCATCAAGGAACCTATGAAATGAGGCAAGAGGTTTAAGTGGGCAGGACCATGTAACAGGCTTTGTGAATGGTGCATGTATGTTGTTGTGTTCTATGTGGTTGGCACATGCATGTTGATGTGTTACATGTATAAATGGTATGTGTTGTGTGTGGGCAGTGTGTGTGCATTGTGTGTTATGTGTGGGTGGTGTACATATGTTTTCTGTGTTATGTGTGTATGGTATTCGTATGTTGTGTTTGATGAATCTGCTTTAAAGCAGACACAAATCAACAATGGAGTAAGTGCCTACCCAGAGCATGGGTGAGACCCCAAGGCAAGAACATTACAGGACCCAGTGTCCCTGGCAAGGGGTCAGTGAGCTGGGCAACACCTCTCCTGACCCTGTACCTTTAAGTCACTCTGCACACCTGTGCTTCCACAAGATACATGGCAGGTCTCAGAGGCCAAGTCAACCTCAGCTCTTCCAAGGGTCCCCAGGAGCAAAGGCAGTGGGCCCAAGCCTGGCTGAGCTGGGCAAGGTGCATCTCAGGGGCCTGGGGTGACCCAAGAAGACATAGAGAATAACGAGGAAGTTGCCCTCTGGTACTGAAGGGGCCCGTGAGGCCCTCTCCTTGTGGAGGGCCCCAAAGGCTTCACTCCAGGAAAAGAATATTCAAGAATCAACATTCACGTTTCCCGAGCCCAGCCTCCTCCTGAGTGTTCAGATCCACCACGGCTCCAGTGCCCGTGGTTGTCCAGATGCAGCGGGTAGGTGTGTTTGCAAAGAGAAGACCCTGAAGGGGCATCGGAACCACCAATGAGAGGGGAAAAAAGAACAATGCTGTGAAGTGACCAGGGCAGGCAAGGGAGCAAGTCAGTACACGGGACAGAGTTTCTGTAGAAACCAACAGATTCTAAAACTTGCCTTGATGAATTGAGTGAGTTCAGTGAAGAGAATGTGTAGGGAGCATCCTTGTGTGTTATGTGACATAATTTCTCCCTGCTCACTTCCTCGAATGACAGTCAATTAAGATCCACAGGCTTTTGTAAGACTTTTTGGGTTGGATTTGAGTTTCCCTTGAATGTGAAGTGGGTTCTTCAGCCAGAAGGCTGGTTTAATTTGGATCCAGTGTTTGGGAACTGTTTGGTGAGGCCATGACTGTTAGGCAAGGCCGGGAGTCCCAGGAGTAGGTGATGGGTTTGGAAGGAAGCTGAGGGCTGTGCTTCAACAGGCTGGTACATGGGAACATGCCTGCACTCACCCTTAGAGCTGGCTGTAGAGGCCCTATCACCTTCCCCTTGGACATAGAAATAGCATCTCCCTCAGCTCTAAGGGAATACTCACCTTAACCGCTCGACCTCTGCATCATCCACCAGAAAGTCTCTCTTCTGCACCAGCCTGTGGATCTTCTGGATTAGCTCGTCCTCTCTCTGCTTCTGCAGCTTGGTTTTTTCTTTTTCTGAGAAGGAAACATCAGCAAAGAAACAATTGAGTTAAGTGTTGAAAGAGCTTGAGTCCGAAGGGCCAGGGTTGGAATCCTGGCTCTACCATTTTACTAGCTGGGTGAACTTGGAGAAACAATTTGACCTCTTTGAGCTTCAGTTTCTTCCTCTATAAAATACACCCAGTGAGGCTTAAATGCAGCGATGTTAGTAAATGACTTAGCACAGAGCTCAGATGTGGGGAATGCTCAGTAAACAGTAACAATGCAGCAAGGGGTTCCTGCTGAAGAAGGCAGAGGGTGAGAACGGCTCAGTGGAGGTTCTGGGAGGGAAATACTCCATAGAAAACCAGTCTGTCCGATGAAAAGCTTCCACGCTGATGGCATTAGGCCTGTCCTAAGCACCAAGGGCTAGAATGCCCAAGAGAAAACGAACCAGGGCTGGAAATGAGGACTGAGAAAACTGGGAGGGCAGAAACACAACCCACTTCAGATCCCTCTGCTCAGACCCCTTCAGAAGATAAAAGAAAAAAAACAAAAACAAAACAAAAACCAATCATGGGGCAGCTTGTCTGCCTGCCTGCCTAGAACTAGCAATGACAATTTCTTCTAGGATTGGAGAAAAAAAAAATCAAAGGTGAATAGACTATAATAACTGGGTAAGAGAGAGGATTGACTTCTCCAGTTAACTAGAAGGGGAAGTGGGGCAGGGGGTGGAATTTCCAGCAACCTCTGGGTCCTTGGCTATTGCGCATCGCCAAAGGCAGCGTCGCTCCTCCCATGGTGCCGTGGGCCGTATTCCCCAAATCACTCATCAGCATCGCAGAGTGTGTCCCATCCCTCAGCACGTGAGTCACCACAGCGCCCACAGCCTCACCTGGGAACCCTGCTCGCTCAGCTCTCTCAGGGGGTCTGTAATGACTTGCAGGTCCCCAAGGAAATGAAAAACCTCCCTCCTCAAGTTAGTCACCATGTTTTCTATCTCCTTCCAGTTCAGGCGTCCCGCAGCCTCCCAGGTACTCAGCTGTGGTCCTCCACTGACACGGCCCCTCCCAGCAGCGCCCAGGAGGAGCCGCCTGCTCTAAGTGGTCTGTGCCAGCTTCCATACCAGTTACTTACCCCAGTCTCCCTGCCACCGGCCAGTGCAGCTCACCTGCTTGTATGTGTCACATGCCTTTCCTGTCAGCATCTCCTACCTGCCTGCAGGCTCCACTCGCCTATTTCCAGGCACCTGTCTCCAGCCCCCGTCGCCTACTCACTGGCATCACCTACCTGCCCACGGGCCCCCCTCACCTACCTGTAGGCACTACCACTTGATTGGTGATGTTACCCTTTTCTCTCCAACATCACCCACCTACTTGCCATTGAGAACCACCAGCTTACCAGCTTCACCCACTGCTTGCTGGCATCACACAGCTGATTCCTAACATCTCTATGTGCTTGCCAGCGTGACCCTCTAAGTTTCTTCTCATCTCCACCAGCACACGTATTAGCCCCGGCCACCGTCACCTCTCCCTGGACCACGCCGTGGCCTCTGGCCTGGCTTCCCAGGCCTGCAGTCCCTACCACAAGGAGGAGCCCTCCGTGTAGAATCAGGGAGTCCTGGCTTGATGCCCAAGCTCCTAGCACCCTCCCCAGCTGTGTGACTCTGGGCACAAATGATTAAATGCCCACCAGGTTAACTATTTACTGAACCAGGTACAAAAGAAACAAATACCTATTTAATGAAGGAAAAGGAAATCGTGCATCATAAATGCACAAATGGTAAGTGCTTAATAAATTAAAAGCTGCTATATTTTCATGAGCTTTTTATTCTCAAAAAGCTCATCTAGATTTCTCAGTTTTGACACTACTAATATTTGTGCTGGAAAATCCTTTATTATGGAGGCTGTCCTGTGCATTGTAGGATGTTCAGCAGCATCCCTGGCCTCTACCCACTCATGCCAGAAGGAATTTTTCCCCCAGTTGTGACAACCAAACATGTCAGCAAATTGTCCAATGTCCCCTGGGGAGCAAACTTGCTCTTGATTGAGACTCAGTAGTTTAAACCTTTCCAATAACACTGAGGGAGATGCTATTTCTATGTCCAAGGGGAAGGTGATACGGCCTCTACAGCCAGCTCTAAGGCAAGGGTGGTGGCAGAGACGGGGATGGGGGGAAAGATGGGAGACATCTTGGCTTGTCCTTGAGAAGCCCTCAAGGCAGGGAAGGTCCCAGGTGTTCTTTCCCATCTTGGAGCTGGTAAATTATTTTTTGACCTTTGCTGGTGAAACATGATTTTCTTGGCCATTCAGTGCTCTATTTTCTTAATACTTCTATTGATGTGTTGCCTGGAGCATCACTTTTTTTCAGCTAAATTCAGCACTGGTCCAGGGAATAGCCAGAAGACTCTTAACAACAAATCGGGGGGAAAAGGCGAGGAGAGGTGAACAGGAATGTAGGAGAGGAAAGAAAACGTTAATACCTGAATTTCCACACAGAAGTGACTGGGACCATGCAATTTCCTGGGGAATCAATGGGACTGGGACCGGCATTAGGGACCTGGACTCTGTTGCTAACTGGCCCTATGACCTGTGCGACCTCTGGTTCTCGGCAGGGCAGTCCATGGCATTTTGGGAGGAACACGTTCTTCATATGGAACTGCCCCCAGGCTGCAAGTTCTAGCATCCCTGGCCTCTACCCACTGCGTATCAGTACTGACCTCATCTTTATTTAAACTTTTGGTGTTTTCCATTGTGGATTTTTTTTTTGCATGAATTTTGATATCTTAATATTGCATTAAAATGTTACTTATCCTGATTGCTGAAATGTTTGTGTTCCAGCAGAATGCCTTGTTCTCCTCACCTGAGTCCTGGTCCTGGTTGCAACCAAAGATCTCTCCACACCCACCCCCTGCTCCCACCCCTTTCAACACGTGCTCTAAGAGGCTGCCACAGCCCCAAATGGAGGAGCATCAGGTGGCCTTGGCTGACCTGATGGCCATACATTCATGTCTCCTTTGCTTGGTGGCTTCCACATGTCCCGATGAGCCAGCAATGGGCTCTGGTAATTCTTCCCCCTAAGGGGGCGATGCCAGCCCATGCTGGGCCTGTTAGAGTCTCCTGGGAAGTTGGAGGCCCTGGGAATTGGGCTGTCATGTGGGAAGATCATTCAGAAGAGATGGACTGAACTTACTTGGCTCATATGCTAGAGCAAGAAAATGGAACACGCACCCAAATGAGAGAGAGGTGGGGAGAGATGAAGGAAGAGGGGAGAAGATGAGAGAGAAAGAAGGAGGAGGAGGAGAAGGGAGGGAAGATGGGAGGAGAGACAGAAGAGACAGGGAGAAGGGGAGGGTGGAGGGAGAGAAAGATCCAAAGAACAATCCAACAGCTTTCTTTTTCTGGTTCCAGACTCTTGAGAGGTTGTATTGGGATAAGCAGTATTACCCACCACCTCCCCAAAGTTTATGTCAACTCTATTTGAAAATAGGATCTTTGCAGATGTTATGAGTTAGGATGGGGCCATACTCATTAGAGTGGGCCTTTAATCCAATCCTTATAAGAAGAGATGACACCCAGAGACATACAAAGAGAAGAAGGCCATGGTGACAGAGGCAGATTGGAGTGAGACATCTCCAAGCCAAGGAACCCAAGGATTGACAAGAGCCCCAGAAGCTGGAAGAGGCAAGAAAGGGTTCTTCCTCCAGAGGCCAATGCTTTGATTTAGGACTCCTGGCCTCCAGAACTGTGAAAGAATCAATTTCTGTTCTTTGAAGCCATTAAGTCTGTGGGCATTGGTTATGGCAGCCCAAGGAAACGAATACAATGCCCTGGGGCTTCAGGAGTCCCCACCATCCTGGCAGTAATTGCTTGTTTTTGTTTCATGCTTAGACCCGTCTGTCTGGGTTTTGTACCTTTCAATTACTACTGTAGGCGCAGGGGTAGGGGGGAGGCTGTAAAATGAGAAAGTTGAACTGGCTCAGTGGCTCTCAATCCTGGCTGCTCATCACAATCATAAGAAAATTTTTAAAATGGCCAATGCCGGGGCCCCGGGGAATCAGAATGTCAAGTGGGTAGCGTCTGGATTTGGCTATATTTTTCCCTCATTCTTTTACTGTTTCATGTTTGACATTTTACTTTCTGTGGTAATAGTCTTATTGAGCTATATTTCACATACCATACAATTCGCCCTTTCAAAGTGTTATTCAGTTATGGAACCACCACCGTAACTAATTTTAGAACATTTTAATCACCTCCAAAAGAAACCTCGTCCCCGTTAGCTGTCACCCCCTTTCAGTGAGGACCGTCCACTCGCTCATATTCCCAGGGCCTGCCTGCAGGGGGTCTGGAACCTGGTACATGCTTCTTAAAGCAATTGTATCTGAAAGTTCTGCTACGGTTGCACATACTACTGTCAAAACAAGAATGTGTTGAGTGCTCCTACACTTTACATTTGTGATCCCATGTCACGTCACAGCATAGTTACAACAGCCATGTGAGGGTGGCAGTATTGACCTCGTTTTAAAGACAAGGAATTTAAAGCTCGAAGAAATTAAGTTGCTCCATGAAGATCATCTAGCTGGCCATCCTGCACTCAAACCCAGATCGCTGGACTCTGAAGTAGCGATTCTTAGGCAGGGGGCAATTTGCCCACCCCACTCCCTACAACAGACAAGAAGATATTTGGCAACATCTGGAGACATTTTGGGTTGTCACAACAGGGAAGAAAGGGAATGCTACTGACATGTCATGGGTAGATGTCAGGAATGCTGCTAAACTCTACAACGCACAGGAAAGCCCCTGTCCCAGCAGAGAATTATCCAGCCCCCAGCGTCCCTAGTGTTGAGGCATTAAGAACGATGCCCTGCTCTAAAGTATGTTGTGCTGTACTTTAAGCTCAATAATAGGTATCCACTGGGCGTCAGGTCATCTCTTTCTACTAACCTGTGAGCTCCTTAAATTAGGAAATCATTTTCTGCACATCACTTCATGCCTATCACCAGCAGCAATGCAGCCTCTTGAGACATACCCAGGAACTGACAGACTCGCAAAAGCATTCAAGTAAACGACAACATGGGGGTGTGATCTGGCCTGTGCTGCCCCTCGCCAATGCCAGGGCAGGGTTCTTGAGACAGACTTGTGTTTGCTCCTTTAAGAGACCTTCCTCTTCACACCTACCAGGCCCTCATTCCTGCCCTCAAGGAGCATGGAGTTTACTCAGGGACATACACGAGTCAACAGACAATTACCTGGTAAGTACTTTGACAAGAGTTAACCCCCCGGAGGACACCTAAGCCAGCCTGGATGGGCAGGGAAGGCTTTCTTGGGAGAAGGGGCCAAATAAGCTGTGACCTGAAGGATAGGCAGAAGTTTGTTTGGTTAACAATAATAATAACGGAAATAATTTATTAAGCACTTACTATAGGATGGGAACTATGCTAGGCATTTTACGTTTTTTTCCTTCATCAACCCCACAACAACCCAGTGAGGTAGATGCCACTATTATCCCAGTTTACAGATGAAGAAATTAAATTTTAGTGAAGTAACTCAACTTGCCCAAGGTCATGGCATTAATAAGCGGCAGGTCTCCGTTTGACTCCACCATCGGGTTGTAACCACCATACTTTACCTGTTCCCAAGCACCATAATAATAGCGATCATCGCTAATACTTACTAGACTTCTACTTTGGACCAGATATCAAGCTAAGCACATGGTTTGCATTGTTTCATTTATCACAAGGACATTTATACCCAATGAGCTAGGTATTACTACCATTACTACCCCGTTTTCAGAGGAGAAATTGAGTCTCAGAGAGATAAAGTGACTTTCCCAGCGTCGAGGAGGTGGCCAGAATTAGGACTTGAACCCGGATCTGCCTGACAGAGTTATGTGTGAATCACGCGATCAGGGAGCACTGCATTGCAAGAATGCGGTCATGCGAGGAGAACAGATGAACACTGTGTGCCAGCCCTAAGGAGTACAGGCGGGGCAGGCTGGGGGCTCTGAGCAGCTCGAGTCCCAAATGGTTACCTGGGATGGCGACCAAGTTCTGCAGCTCCTGCTTCAGGTCCATGATGTCATTGCACAGCTGAATGTCATCCATCCTGGGGAAACAGGACACCGCATCAACAGCAGGTTACATCAGAAAACATTCTCCACCCTAAGCACGACCTCAACTACAACAAAGAATGTGCAGGAGGGGAGTGGCTTTGTAAAGACCACACGTGCTCTTGATAGAAGTTTTGCTCCAAAAGAAGGAAAACTAAGATTGCCTGTTACCTCACTACTTATTAATAGCACCTTGATGGTACCTCCCAGTCTTCACGTGCCTGGCATTTGTTTGCTTGTATGAGCAAGCTCACGTGGCAGGTTCAGAGTATTCTTTTATTAGCTTGTTGTTAAAATTTTTAAATATTACAAAAATTCACAGCATAGACAGAGAAAATCTCCATCCTTTAGAGAGAACTATTTCCAACAGTTTAATATACGTTCCTCCAGATTTTAAAAAGTGTTTATGCTGCTACTAGCATATATATAGCATATCATTGTTCTTATACATAAACATTTTGCAATCTTTTTAACTTAATGGTATATCTTAGGTATCTTTTCACATCTGGACATGCAAATCTTCTCATTTGCAATGGCTGTATACTATTACATCATGTTGATATACAGTGATTTATTTAAATATGCCCGTATTCATAGACATCTGGGTTGTTTCCTGATACATTTCTAGGATAAATTCCTAGAAAAATAAATTCCTAGAAATGTAACCACTGGTCAAGTAACATGAACATGTGCATTTTAATAGCAATTTCTAAATTGCCCACCAACCATGTGAAAAGATGTTCAATCCTATAATCTCAGTAGCTGGGTCACCTGTACAATTTTGCATTATGTAGTACAGTTTTGTATGTGTCTGTTACAATATTAACTCATCTTATTATAAACAATATATGCAATGGCTGCCTGGAATTTTCAACAATAGATTTATCAGGTCTGTTTTAATTATGCATGTATCTTAATTACTTAGGTGGGTTTTTCAGGTTGTCTGTGCTATTTCAACCACTGTAGGATGAACATGGATTCACATAAGGCTTTTACTTCATGTTGGATTATTTAGTGTGGGGGCTACAGAATCTGAGTGCAAAGGGCTTGGCACGTCTATGGCAACTGAGACACTATCAGATCGCTTCCCCCTGAGAGGGGTGTATGCCCTCATTCCGAATGTCTTTATTGACCATTTACTGTGTTCACCGCTGTCATAGGCTCCAGGGATACAGTAGTCTCTCCTGCCCTCATGAGCTGAAATTTAAGCAGAGAAGACAAGAAAACAAAAATACAATAGAATGTCAGGTGCTATGAAGAAGAATAAAGCAAGAGAGCGGATGGAGTGGGCCAGTGTGGACACAGCATCCCACTGTCCCAGGAAGAGACAGAGGGAAGCATTAATATTCTCAAAAGGCTCAATGGTGTCCGCACAGCATATGAGAGTATGACCAGGACTAGAAATCAACTCATCTGAGTCCACTGCTCTGCCTCCTTCCACAGGGTCTTTGCCAAGAACCTGGTCTGTTGCCTCTATTAAAAAGTGCCATCTACAGACCAGCTTGGGGCCACTTGCCTTTGTGGGTCAAGAACTGCCCTTGTTATCTATTCTAATCCCAGCATCCCAGCTTTCAGAACAAGAGGCAGGAACATCTCATTTGCCAGAGGCACTACAACCATTTGTCAAGCCCTGTCCTGGAATGTCCTAGCAGGTGGCAGCTGCCTCGAATGAGCTTGGGGAACTGCCAGAAGGGTACAAACTGTTCCCATGGGTTCCTATCAGCAATCGTTCAACTGGTGGAGCTCCCAGACCCTTTTCCACAGCTAGTATGCAGATCAGTGATCTTAATGAGGACAATTTTGGTCCCTGGGGACATTTGACAACATCTGGAAACATATTTCGTTGTTACAATGGATGTGTGTGGGGACTGTTACTGGCATCTAGTCGGTAAAGTCCAGGGATGCTGCTCAACACCCTACCATGTGCAGGACAGCCCTGTCGATTATCCAGTCCAAAAAGTCAATCATGCTAAAGTTAAGAAATCTGGGGTTGTAACCTGGGGACTGACACAGGTCCTAACTGACAATTTTTGAGAGATGAGAGAAGGAAAGGTGGCAAAAGGTGGGGGTGGAGGGAGACAGGTGGTTGTTAGAAGCAAGAGTACTGACACAAAACAGCTCTACTTCAAAGGGTCATTGTGCCAGTAACTTACCTTCTGAGTCTCTTTCCTTATCTCTAAAACAGGAGTTATACTAGTACTTCTGCCTAGGATTATTATGCATGTCAAGCACGGAGCATGTGTCTGGGGCATACATAGTAAAATGTTTAGTAAATAGTATCTGTTGTTATTATCATTAGCTGTTAGAAAGAAACAGGGAGAAAGAGAAAATGCTTCAGGACAAGCAGTTTATTTGACAAATGGAGCTAACATATTCAACCTTAAAAAAAAACACTTTGATTATATTTTTTATAAAAGTTTTAAAATAGCGTTCTTATATGATTATAGAACAAATCTCTGATCTCTATAGCAATTTGGGAAAATACAAACAAGTACAAAGAAGGAACCTAAACTTACACATAACCTTGACCCACGTGCACCCAGAGGTCACTGTTCCACTCCAAGTGTTTTGGTGTATTTCACACCAATTTCTTTCGTACATGTAACCCAGGTGTGGCAGACTTGCCCCAGCTAGCCTTAGTCCTCGCCTTTTGTCCATCTCAGAACTGCACTCATCATGATTTTGAGTCCTCCCGAACACATCCAACCCCACCACACATTAACAAGTAAAATGAGATTCTGAGGTTCTCACAGGGAGTCATGCTGCAGAACACCGTAAAAATCCCTAGTAGACAGCACTGTGGTTTTCCTCAAACCTTGCTACCAGCTTCCCATCTCTTTTCTTTCTCTCTCTTCCTCTTCCAAATGCCTCACAGTCTAAGGAGGATCCTTGGTGGTCTTCAACTTATAAACCTCAGTTGGCAAAAGCAAAGCCTACTGGTTCCTGAACACCCTCCCAGGAAAGAGCCTTGTTCCCTACCTCCCCATCCTCCTCCCCGACCCCGCGCACACTCCAAGCTGTCTATCAGAGTATTCACCTAATGAAAAATCAGTCTTTTTCTGGAATACGGAGGGATGGGTTCCACCGCTAAGGGAAAAACAAAGTCAACAAATAGAAGCTAAGCAATGTGTCCAAAGCCCCACGCTGGTAAGCGGATGTTGGGATTTAGTCCGCATTTGTGCTCTTGACCACTTCACCATGGTGTCTCCTCTCCATGTGGCTGTATGAGTTGCCACTAACGTGGTTGGTTGCCCATAGAACTGACCTTCCTTCTCTGCCTTCCTCCTAAAGCCCTGATTTGTTTAGGAGGCAATGTCTCCAGCCCCTGATGGAAGCCAGTTATCTTAGTCTGTTTAGGTTGCTGTGACAAAAATGTCATCGATCAGGTGGCTAAACAGCAAACACTGGTATCTCAGATCTGAAGGACTGTGGAGTCCAAGATCAAGATGTCAGCTGATCTGATTCCTGGTGAGGACTGTCTTCCTGATTTGCAGATAACCACCTTCTTACTATATTCTCACATGGTGAAGAACAATGCCTCTCTTGTCTCTTCTATAAGGGCATTAATCTCAGTCACGGGGGCTTTACCCTCATGGTCTATCACCTCTCCAAGGCCCCACTTCCTAATACCATCCCACTGGAGATTAGGGCTTCAACATATGAATTTAGCAGGAGGGGGTACACACTTAGTTTATAGCACCATTCATGGCAATCCCATTTGCCTTCACTGGACACCCATTCTTTGGGGCTCCCTTGCAGGTAGAGGTGGTCATGAGACCCACTTTGAGCCAACTGGATGTAAGAGGAAGTCTGCTAGGGGAGGGCTTCTGGGAAAGATGATTAGTCTTAGGTGCTACCCCTCATGGTCCTGAAGCTGCTGCAGTCACTGCGGAAGATGGCAGAAGGGAATAAGGAAAGAGCTGTTCCGCCAATGACACTCCGCAGACCCCTCGGACCTCCTCCATCTGGACTTCTCATGGAATGTCAAAATGTCCTTATGCTTTAAGTGGAGTGACCAACTGTTTTGGTTTGCCTGGGCCAATCCCAGTTTTAGCATTGACAGTCCCATGTCCTGGAAAACCCCTGAGTCCCAGGCAAAATGGAACAGTTTGTCAGCCAAGATTTAAGATATTATTAATCATTCATTGCAGTGTTACTTACAATAGCCAAGATATCGGAGCAACCTAAATGCCCATCAACAGATAAGTGGATAAAAATGCTGTGGTAAATATATACAATAGAATATTACTTGGCCATTAAAAGGAAGGAAATCTTACCATTTTCAACAGCACAAATGGAGCTAGAAGGCGTTTATAAAGAATATGATTGTCTAACCAATATGCTATACACTTAAAACTAATACAAAATAACATTGAATGTAAACTCTAATTTTTAAAAAATTTTAAAAGGCACTATTAATCAGATGTTCTATTACTTGCGGCTGAAGACATATTCACTGATACATGTATGTGGATATGTGCATTTTTAAGATCAAAACATACAGACATATGCTCTGCTCATTGTGAGCATAATATGATGATAATTTTCTAATGCTATTAAATAATATTGTTCAAAAGACACTGATATAGTTCATGCAAAGCACTTTCAAAGCTTGGTTGGAACTTCTGAATAAGCCACGTTAATTGCTCTCTGCACAATTAACATTCTCTGCTGCCAGTATGTTCCACAGAGAGAGGTCATCTTCAAGAAAATGATCATTGCAGGAAGAAGAAAGCCAGCCTGTGTCGTTTGCATCTCAGCCTCTCACACAGGGACAACGAAGAAAGTGGGTCATTGTACCAGCTTTGGGAGGGGAGAGGTGATCAGGCTCTGTCAGAAGACAAGTGCTGCTGCTTTAGAAAATTTCTTTGAAACCAACATGGTCCGGAGCCTTGTGGAAAGCCAGCAGAGACACAATGGGAAGGCCTAAGCAGAATGACAGAGGAAAGGATTGACTTTTAAAAGTAATATTGAATTGGGCCCATCTTTTATAAAT